AGGGAGGGAGGGAGGAAGGAAGGAGGAAGGAAGGAAGGAAGGAGGAAGGAAGGAAGGGAGGAAGGAAGGAAGAGAGAGAGAGAGACAGAGAGAGAGAGATGGAGACTATCATGTTCTGTACCTCTCAAAGCAAGCGATAATCCAAACATTACTGGGATTTTAAGCAGCCACATTACCCTCCTCACGCTGTTTGCTCAACCTGATGTTCAAATTCATTTTCATTCTCTTGCCACACGCCAAATACTGGCAAAGGAAGTGACCCTACTGTCCTGAACTCAGGAGCTGACTCTCCCATACTTCTGCTCTGGGCTGTTTTCTCGCCTGATAATGCCAACATCAGAGTTTTCTTTTCCTTTAATGCACTGATTCCAATTGTTTGCACAGGGGAAATGGAGTTGCAAAGAGCGTTTGCTTTTGCATGTTCAACCCTAAGGAAGAACAGACTGGGACAGTGCAAGGATGACTATATGGTGTTGCTTGGGAAGCGCCCACAAGTTCTTTGAAACAGAATTTGGAACAGCTGGACCACTGCAGTGTTTTATTTTAAAATAGACAACATATGTAATGCATATGGTCCTAGACATGTATGGAGACACAGGCAGACAATCTGAATGGTATCCAAAGACACCTGCACCTAGAGTTCTGTTTCCCTTTATAAGATTTTTTTCCTCTAAGAGCACATGTTCCCACTTTTGGATTTGCAGGATGCCATCTGAATCCCCATGTGTGTGGCTCCTTAATAGAGCCAGTGGGAAGTTATCTGGAATGGAGGTGTCACCGTCAGCCGGTTAATAACCCCCTCCTACAGATCCGCTCCTTCAGGCACTTGCTGCTGGGCAAGTCGTGCCTCAGAAAGTGCCCTGAGGAACCGTATCATCTATTAAGGGGCTCACCTGTGTGCAAATGCCCTAACCACAGAAAACTGGAACGTGACCCAGGAAAACACAGAGAAGGGACATAGCAATTGGTTATAAAAGGGCAGAGCAGACTGTAAAGCAGAGAGATTGGGAAGGACTCCCAGCTCCCTAGAAATGAGATGGTTTAAGAAGCAAGGAAGGAGGAACATTAGCTATGAATGCAGAGACATCTTTGGCTCGCTAACAACTTAAACTGGCTTTGCAAGCACCAAGAAACTTGCCTGTTTATGCCTAGCTAACATTTATTGAGCACTTACTGTGTGCCAGTTGCCTTCCAGGGACTTCTCATCAGATCCCGTCAGCAGCTCTCTGAAAGTAATCTTTAATACTGTCTTTGATTTATAAATAGGGATAAGGAAGCTCCAAAGCAATAAACACCCACCCTCCACCACATACCTAGTAGTGGCAGATCTAGCCTCAAATCCAATCTGTGACCCAAGTCCTCCCAGCTCCTGTAAAACAAACTGTTCCCAATGAATTTAGTAGAACAATACCCTATAAAGTTAAGAAATAGAAAACATTTTTCACAGACTGAATTAATTTATTTATTTGGATGGAATTCTCTATTGTAACAAATAGGTATCAAGTGCCTGCTAGGAGCCAGGTACTGTTCTAGGTGCTAGGAATATAGCAAAGAATAAAAAAAAAAAAAAATACCAAAACCCTTCCTTAAAAAGTAGATCCTTTTCATCGACACCTTGAAATAGCACTCCCAGCCTACCCTTCCTTCTCGCACAATATAATAAGCTCAGGAAACTGTTCAAGATTTCATGGGAACCAGTCACCCAGTTATGCATCGTTGAGTTACTGGAGCAATTAAGAAAATGAGTCCAATCCTGAGCAAATGGTAATTTTGTGCAAGTAAGAAGCCAGGAGATGCTTGTTTTAACTGCTGGGACTCCAGCACATTAAGCTCCATCCCATACCTGGAAGTGTGTGAGGGATCTTAAGGATCATGGAAATACAGTCCATGGCAGCAGAGAGGAAACCAAGTCAGCTCGTCTTACACTAAAGGAAACTGAGTCTCGGAGAAGCAGCTATTTAAATAGCACCCGACAGCTATTTTAAAATGTAGCTCCGACTGGAATCCAGACTTCCTAAATTCAGCCCCAGGTTCATTTGCCAGAGCCCAGGAGAAAGATGCAAGAGGAGAAGAAAGAACAAGGATATTTACTTTTGCTAGTTATTGTCTGGAAAAAAAAACCAAAACAGGCTGATCTTATGCATATTTTGCTGTAAGCCTGCTTTAAAATGTCAGTAAAAAAGGAAATTGTTCTTTAGACTAACCAGCCCACAGTTAGCGCATTGGGGTTGTAGTCTTGGCCCTCATAATGGGTGCAGGAGGGGGGCAGTCTGTGTCCAGGGCCCCCTAGAGGAACCAGGTCACCTTTTCAGGCCTATGTCGTGAGGGGCCAGCAAGGCAAGATGTGTCACCAGCAGTGTTCAAGAGGCTCAGCAAGGAAAGGGTAAGACCCCTGGAACATGTGCCATATGTTTAACAGCTACAAAAAAGCCCCTAAATAACCAGTTGCACCACCAAAATTAAACAAGAAACTATCTTCACCAAGCTGGCAAAGTCAGGCTCCGGCCGATTTGTCGGCTTACAGCCTCTTCTGAGAAATCCGACAGCAAGAAGCTAATGCTCGTCAAACTGCCTGAACTGTTAAAATCCGGAGGCAGGGGACGGATGAGGCTTTTTGTGAGGATATAACAGGATAAGCAATTCACGCATACCTCACAGTCAGTTTTTCCTGCGTTAAGTTGACCTGGGACTGACAGGACATAGGGGAAGGGGCAGAATTTGCCCAAGGAAATGGAGAGGTGCCACCTACATGGCGAGAGTCCTTATTCCAGGGGAGACCTCAGTTGGAGGAGGTGTAAGACCCTTGCCTTGGGCCACAGGAAGCACACCCGCATCCTGGGAGCAGCTAGGTTTCCCGCAGCCTCACCTTTCCGAGCCCCGCAAGTCAAGGAGAGAGTGTAGTTTGGGGACCAAACCAAAAGAAAACAATTTTCCCAGGTGAAGCTTCCGGCCTTAATTGGAAAGCACTTTTCTGGGGGTGACTCTGAGACAGCTATCACAGCACAAGAAGGTTCTTGTGGATTCTCTAATATAATTCCTGCACATGTGATATCCCTTCCAAAAGCTGGTGTTTTATCATTTTAATGGAGCGATTTGGCTGTTAAAATACATACTCTTCGACTTGCCTTCTGGAAATCGTTGCTTCTGTGTATCTTGGGCATAAGCAACACATCTTGTTCAAATACTGACCACTTGCTGCTTCTCAAAAAAAAATGACAGAAGATTTCAGAACTCCAACAATAAGGGTATACATCTGCTTCACCCTGCATTGAGATTTAAATGATACCAAAATCAATAGGAGGAGAAATCATCATCTTAAAGTCTCACGGCTGCCATAACCCAAGCTTACAGCTTAACCCCAAGCATAGCAGAGAGAAAAAAAAAACTGCCTGGGATGGAGGCCACATATGAAAATATTATTCAAACACCCTTTTTCTCCCAAGTCAGAAATCGATTTTCCCCTTGCCTTGAAAGTATTGCCGCTTTCTAGCAAGTCCCCGTATTCCAATAAAATGCTGCATGCGAGGAGCTGAATAAAATCTTACTCGATTTGATATGATTCTGTTTCTCCATAGTCGGCATATGAGGAGAGAGTACAAATGAGGTGGAGTGAGCCGATTCCTTTAACGTAGAAGACCTGCATTCCTTCCTCTTTAGGGTTTGTCTGGTGGCACTTGAGTTGATTTCTCCGCGTTACGTTGCCAGCTGAGGGTAGTGTATTTCAGCTACACATGTTGAGATTAATTAGTTAGCCCTTAGGAAGTTTGCCTACTGCCTTCACCCTGGAAGGAAAAGTGTGAATACATTGAGACTATTAATTCACAATAAAAGACGGATCGTAGCCCTCCCTGAGTCAATTTCTGTTTGTCTCTTTCATACGCTTTGCTAACGAGTAAGCACACTATAAGGCAATGTCCTTGGCTATCACAAACTAAATTCCCATTTAACATAGTCTCCAGGTTTCAAGGAAAATCTTTTGTTTTCTTTAATTTTTAATTTTGGAGGGTGGGGATTCAAACCGTTTGTGAAACCAAATTGGCAATGGGGATTTGGAAGGGGGAGACACAAATATTCTCACTTTGCTGAAAATCTTCAGAACCCTTTCTCCAGATAATCCCAATAATCGTAGAGGAATTGCTCCAGACATAACCACTGGAATGGCAGAATCTATTAAAAACTTACAAAGCTAACCAGGCTATTATAAGCAAAGGTCCGATCTGCTTTCAGTGTTTGGTGGAATGCAGGCGAAGTTACGGTCTTGTGCTTAGTTTTTAAAGAACAAGATAAATGCACTGTAATTGTGATCATTTGATAAACACGTTGATGCCAATATATTTTTTGCCTAAATGCAGTAAACTCACCAGTAAGTGATGCAAGTTGACAATGGGAGGTAAAAAGAATATCTGGGGGATGTTGGTGGGAGGGAACACGCAAACAGCTAATGTCCCTAATGCCTGGTGGGTTCCTGTGTATTTGAAATGTCAAAAAAAAATGTGATGTGCTTCTCTAAATTGTGTCTTTCTCTACATGTGTAAATGAACAGACGCAGATAGAGCTCAAAAGCATGGCATGGATGAATTTATCTCTTCCAACCCCTGTAACTTTGACCACGCTTCCCTTTTTGAGATGGTGCAGCGCCTTACTTTGGATCACAGACTTAATGATTCCTATTCTTGCCTGGCAAGTATATTCTTTGGTCTACAACAATTTAAGTAGAACATTTTTAGAAATGAAATATTTCCCTACCTTTATGTCAGAAGCTCTTTTCTCCCTTACAGAATCCCTTTACCAATTGTCAGTGTGTTTCTCAATTTCCTGGGTTGAGATAGTTTTACTTACCAAAGCAACAAGACTGAGCTGGGGGAAGTTCTCAGAAGAGACACGTCCAATTCCCCAGCCTGCCCGCCTTAGCTCCCCCCTTTTCAGCGGCTACATGAAAAATATTCCCAAGAGGGTAATCGAGTTTGGCACCTGATTGTGGAGAACTTGTAAAAATCACCTCCTTGTCTCAGAGTTTAAAATGCCCCTCCCTCCCAATTCCAGACCCGGTGCTCCTGTCTTGGAAAGAATGTACTTTTTGTGTGTCTTTTTTAAAGACTGAAATAATATATAAATAAGCTCTACTTCACTGTCCACAAGTTTAATTGATTCAGGTTGATTTGTTTCTTTGTGGGGTTTTTTTGTGTTTTTTTACTTCTTTCTTCATAATATTCAGAGCCTTTTTTGCCCTCTAAGGGAATATCTTACAGCACATGAGGCATTTGGAAATCCAGCTATCCAGCAGGAGTATCAATATTTCCTAAATCCTATATTTAAACTGATTTAAATTAGTTAAATTCACAGAACTGCTATTATATCTTTATTGGATTTCTGAAGATACATTTTTGGCTTTAGACTATCAAATTCAAAACCCTAAAAATGTCTTGGTTTCTTTCTTTCTGCAAACCATAAATTATTCCTCCATTTCTTAAAGGTAAATTAATAACACTTTATAGATGGAAAAGATGAAGGGAAATGATAAAATGACTCTATAAAATCCTTGTCCCCAAAACACTAAAATCAATATACTTGTACAGTATTAATCTTAACATATTGCCAATATTAATATATATATACATATAATGATTCCTCCTTCTTTACTAAATTACATGGCTATACCCTAACTCTATTCTGATTCATTTTTATGTAAATTCATTAATAGTTTGGTACCAGAAGCTAAAATATAAAAAATAGTAGGTGAAGTAATCTTAAAAATTGAAACAGGACTCTGTAGAATAATTTATTAGCCTAAGTCTCATAAATGATACATTGATTATCTCAAGTTTAGAATATCTTCATCAGAAAACTCTGAACTTTGCCAAATTGGAAAGGAACATAGCACTTTGACTTTAAAAAGAAAAAAAGCTTACCTTGCATTGCAAAGCAATTTTCTCAAATGTTTTTCCTACCATTATGGAATTATTCATGTTCATTATAAATTGCATTTATGAAATGCGTAAGAATATGGATGCCTCTGAACTTAAATCATGCTCTTTTAGGTATAACCCTCCGTCTCTTGAGGAATCTGTTAATGTGTATTAGTTTCAAGACATTTTAATATCACCATTTTAAAAAACAGTTTCCTTTTGTTTTGAAATGTACGGCAAAGACAAATTAGTAAATGTCTCTTAAAAATTTTGAAGGAAAAATGAAACACTCAAGCTTGTTTCCTGCTAGTCATTATAGGCTGAAAAACATGCTCCAAAATCAAAAATTAATTATAAACAGGGTAAAATAGCTTCCTTCGCTATTTGAATACCTGAATCTATTAATTATTCCAGAGTTACAGAAAATTAAAAAGAACCTTATCTCTTGTCTCTATATGTTCCATTTTCTCATTATTACAGTCTTTTTTTTCAGTTGGTTTTGGAGAACGACCAGCAGGGATACATAAATTTTTCTGTATCTTCGACTCAGTTCCTAATTGATATTTCTTCAACTCTTTTCAAAGCAGCTATTTTGGCATCTACAAAAGACTTGGTGTCATCTGAGTCGTAGAAAATATATTTTAATCTTTCACAGCAGTGTTGTTTCTAAGATTTAGCATTTGGGGTAGCAGATGGAGTGGCAAAGAAGTTGCCTATAGGGGCAGCCCACTGCCTCGACTACTCTCCCGCCCTCTGCAGTAACTTATAATTTGAAATAGGAAAGATGCCGTCTTTCGTTGGATGCAGCGCTGAGCTGCATGTTGTCAATAGAAGATTCCCCAGATCCCTAATCTAAGAGGAGAGAGTTGCAGAGACCGCCCTCCCTGCACTTTTGTGGCCTCTCCCTGGTCCCCTCTCACTGGCTCCCTTTTGCTCTTTCTCTCCCAAGATGGAACAATGTCCAAAATAGGATTCGTAGAAGACCCTCAAAGTAAAACGAAGTTTACATTTAAAACAGCCCTACATTCTAAACTTACACACTACAACTAAATTGGTTTATTTCTTGCTTCAGATGACGCTGAAACCAGAAACTATGATTTGATTTCAGGCTGTGCCCAAGGATGTCCCAAGCGGAAGTCCCTTGGCCTTTCCGGGCACTGCTTTCTTAAACGCTAACAGAGGAGGCAAACTCTACCCCACCCTGCCCCTGAATATGGGTGTTATTTCATAGCGAGGCTGGGGCTGACCTCACAGCAAGGAAGTATGTGATAAAATAAACAAAATTATCGGGAGGAAAAAAACAAAACTGTAGAAAGGGTATAAGACGCCCCTCTCAGTTTAACCAAATAAAATCTGATCAACTGGAAAACTTAGTCTTACTATTCTCTTTGGAGAAGTATGTTATTACCTTCATTTAAAATTTTAAGAAATACTTGTAAAGTATATGAATTCACCAGTTCCTGGCAACTCTAAAATTTCTTCGTGCTCCAGAGCAGGGAAGCAGGAGATGTTGAAGAAAACTGAACTTGATTTGAGCCCTACCTGTTTTGTGTCACCTGTGTGCGTCTCTGAACTCAGATTTCTATTTCCTCATCTGTAGAATGAAGACAACCTTGCCCTGTCTGCCTTTAAAGCTCTCTGTCCTCCCTGAAGTCAGGTCTCCTGTCCACAAGCCAGGCATGACAGTGTCTCCCCCTGGGCCTGGGGTAAGGACTGAGACAGACAGCACACTCGATGACTGGAGCTTAGTAACAACCAGTGAGCCCTAGCTCCTGTTCCTCCCAGGCCCCTTTTCCACCCACTCCCAGCTCACGGCTCTCCAGGAAACAACCTGTATTTAAAAGAAAACCTCTCCTTTCTCCCCACACAGGGCTGGTTCAGTCCTGGCCAGGTGTTTGTACTAGACGAATATTGTGCCCGCAATGGAGTCCGAGGGTGTCACCGACATCTCTGCTACCTCAGAGACTTGCTGGAACGGGCAGAGAACGGCGCCATGATCGACCCCACCCTTCTGCACTACAGCTTTGCCTTCTGCGCATCCCATGTCCACGGCAACAGGTAAGCAGATGTGTGCCAGTGTGGCCGGAAAAAGCTCTTCCCAGAAAATCAACTGGCATAGGTTTTAGGATCACCTCTGACGATCTACCTCCATTCCCTTGGTAGTACTACACACGCACACACTCAACACACACACCAGAGAGAAGAGAGAGAAACAGAGACAGAGAGACACAGAGAGAGAGACAGAGAGAGAGAGGCACAGAGGTCTAACTTAGTTTCTTCTTTTCAAGACACTGTACAGAAATGGCAAACGGGACTTCTAGTGTGGCCTCTGATATTAGACCAAGCTGGGTTCAGATCAAGGTTCCTCTATTTACTATTAATGAACGTGTTTGATAATTAACCCTCTATTGCCACAGGTGTCTGTAAGATGGAAAGCAGTGTCCTTGTAGCTTTGTTGAGAGGATGCAAATAGATACAAAGAGCTCAGCAAAGTGCCTGGAATGTGTCAAGAGCTGAATAAACACTTGCCGTTGTTATAGCCATTCACCCCATGAGGGTTCAGGGATGACTTACTGGTGTCAGATCTTGGTACGTAGTCAGGATACGTGGCAAGTCAAAACAAGATACCAAACAAGGGCAGAATCATGTTAGTACTGGTGCTAGAAGAAAAGGAATAAAACTCCATGGTGGAATTTAACAAGGAACATGACTCAAACGGAGTAGCAGCATGGCAGGGGGGACCTCCCTGAGGAAATAAATGATGCCGGGGCTGAAAACTGGTGCGTGTGTAGGAGTCGAGTGGTTCCAGGCAAAAGGAACAGCATGTACAATTGTCCTGCGGAAGGAAGAAGCCAAGCATATTTTGAGAGCTGAACGAGCTAGGTGAAGCTGGAAGACCAAGATGACGATAACACTTGTAATGTGATCCGAGGTGGGAAGAACTTCGGAGATCCCCAGTCTCATCACCCACCTCGTTGTACAGATTTTACAGACAAGGCCAGAACACCAAGGCTCCTGGTTCTGCTCTAAGCCCTCCCTTTCTCTAGACCTTGCCCAGTTCCTGGAGGAAGAGAACCACGTTCTGAATAATGCAGAGCAGCAGATAATTTCAGAACATTGCCATTTGGCTCTGGAGACATGGAATACATTTCCACACTGCCACAGCCATTTTACCTCCCCAGTGTATGTAGCCTCACATTAGTATAGAGATAATCTTGCATTCTCCCAGAGCACCCCAACCAACAGCCGGGGGAGGCACACCCAGCAGGGACGCCAGGTGGCTTTGGAAAGCCAGCCTCTGGTGGAAATATTGTTGCTCTAGGGCCGTGATGGTGAACCCTTCAGAGCTTTCAATGCTAACAAATATCCAGCAGCAGCACAAGTCCCATAGATTCGCCACCACTGCTCGAGGGAAATCCACAGTGGAGAGAATCCAAAATCGACTACTTTTTTTTTAATCAGAGCTGTGTCAGTCCTCCTCATCTTTGCAAGCCATACAGCCCTGAAACACTGTATCTGTGGGATTTGTTCTGTGCTTTTTCTCTCTCCAGTGCCGGTAGATTTTTATGAAATGCAACTTCAGCATTTAGAACTAGACAACAATAACATTGTCGGCTTGAATATTTAACAGGCATCAAGGTTATCTTCACCTCCTATTGTCATGAGGTCCAGTAGTCCTGCACATGACCTTTTATTTGCATAATGATACTCATGAAAACGCTGATACCTGGGATGTATCTGTGCATAATTCTGCTTTTTATAAATATGTACACTTTGATGACTATCTGTTACAGCCTCTTGGACTGAATTCTTTAAAGAGAGAGAGAGAGAGAGAGAGAAGTTGCATTATATTCTCTGGGTTGTCACACTGTATTCTACATATGTTACTGAATAAGAAAGTGTTATAAAATAATGAAGTGTTTTTGTAAACTCCCTGGTAAACATCATCATGAATTATGATACACATTGTCTGGATTTCATATTGTAAGACTGCCACTTGATTCACAGTTAGGTTTATACATCTTGTCATGGAAACAGTTTGGGATTTCTTATTTTCTTTTCAGTTCTGATTTTCCTTATGCAAGTTTGCATCTTTTTTTGCTTATTATTTTAGTTCGAATGCATTTGCTTTTGCTTTGTGATGCACCCTTCTTTTTGTTTCTTTGTTTGTGCATGTGTGTGTGGGCTCTCGATGCTCCGATGGCTGGCCACACTCTGCATGCCTCACGCAACCACCCCTCTCAAAAGTCAACAAATGCATGTGTTCCTTAGTGGGCTGCTACCAAATACAGACTCTGAAGGGAGCAAAACTCCCCTTTCATCTGAACCAGAGACCAAAAAAGATACCAAAAGAGAATCCAAAAAAAGAAAAGAATCCAAAATCCACTCAAGTCAAGAGCCCAAAAGGTAAGAAGTCATATGTGTGTTGCTTGGTTTTCACAATGTCTTTGACCCTTCCCCACCCCTCCATCCAGGCCACCACTTCCAGCTTTGCAAACAGCAAGCTTTGAGCACTCCTGGACTCTCTTTTTCTTTGAGGGTTTTCAAAGGTAAAATCTAAAAATGATGTTCTAGCGATGGGCACGAATGTGTATTGGAACTCAATTTGATTCAGGTGTTTAGTGATTTTTAAAACATGTTCATAGTGAAAAGACTAATTGAACAACATGTAAACAAAATTGTGAATCACATTGCTTTTTTAGTGGCACCTAGGTAGGAGCCTAGTACCTTCATCGGTAATAATAAGCAATGCATGCTTTATAATGTTGAAATTATGGGTTTTTTTGGTTTTGGTTTTGGTTTTGGTTTTGGTTTTGGTTCTTTATTTTGTTTTTTTGGTACCAAGAATCAAACTCAGGGCCTTGCACTTACCAGGCAGGTGCTGCACCACTGAGCTACATCCCTACCCCTTGAAGTTATGTTTTCAGGGTAAATAAAATGAGTTGGCATCAAATAAGCCTGTACATTTATAGTAGCGCTATCATCTTCAATAACCCGTTCTCAGTTCCTCAAGCATCTCTTGAAAAGAGATTTAACCACAAAAAAAATGACTTAGAGTAATGACACAAAATAAAGCTTAACAGCAAATTAATGGTTTTTAGTAGAATGATTTACATGATGAGGTTATCTTTAAAGTACTCTGGGGTTCTAAAATTTGATTGATCTTGCCTCATTTCCTATGTCTTTTAGGAATACTGTCCTTTTAAGCACTTGATAAACTGAGTGAAAATGCAAATTTTTGCTTTCTAGAGGATGCAGCAAGTCATCTATGAGTATATGCACGTCCAATAGTGAAGGTCAAAACAAATCCTGATTCTATGTAGCCCCTTACCTCCCTCACGGCTATGCATAAGGGTGTAGGTAGAGTTTCTGTTTGTGTATCCTTAGGGCCGTCAGCCGCAAGGAAATAATGACTTGCAGTCCCAAAGAAAGTTCTCAGGGAGCATCATAGGTGCCCAAAGCGCGTGTCCAATAGAATTGTCAAGTCTTTGAAGGGGAAGCTGCCTTGGCCGCTGTCCGAGGTGCTGCTTTTGGAGAGCAAAGAGCAACTGGCCACTGTGAAGAAGTAGCATTTGCTCAAGCCCGACCTAGTTTCTGTCCCATGGAAGCCATCCAAAAGGATCCCCACTCTCTGACAGGACTGCATGTGTTCAAGTGTCTATGTTTGCATTGTATTTCATAATGAAGATGAAATCATAATGTGAAGTATCCATTGTATAGTAGTTTTCTACAGTTTAAAGAATGATTTCAAACGTTCTCCCATTTGCCATGAAATTCTCAGGCTAGACATTTCTGCACCTATTTGGCATGTGAAAAAACTGATTACGCATAAATTTAAGTGGCAAATCCACATGTCCTAGACCCAAAGCTCTTCCTCTTTGTATTACATCTACACTGTGCCTAGATGCTAACGATATGAGTGTTAGACACTGCTCTTCATAAATTTAGGAATATCATACCTCATTTCTGTGCCTTGGTTTTCTTACCTGTGAAATGAGCAGACAGAATCATAGCATCTTTAGTGTTTTTTAATCTTGAAGATTGTCTTCTGTGGGTTACAGTAAGAAATGAAGCAGCTCATTGCCAGGTTTCATTTTCTAAGGTTCAATTAAAATAAGGATAATCATTACCATTTCAAAATATTTGCCAAACTCCAACCACTATGTGAAGTGCTTTTGATGCATGTTATCTAATTCTATCTTTATTCCACCCCTGTGAAATAAGTATTGCTATTACCCTTCTCCAATAGATATGACCTTAAGGCTCACATTTACATACTTCCCTGGGGCTGTGTAACAAATAGTAGTCTGAGCCTGATTGGAACATGGGTATTCTGGCTTCAGGGCTTGCACTTGTAGCCACTCTACCTTACTGCACTTATACATGGCATGTGATACCATTTGATACTTGCTTCAGCATTCCAAGCTGAGATGCTTCAACAGTCACTGGCATTATAGTTTTCCATTTGGAGCCTAAGGATACCCAATATCAGCATGGCCCACCTACATAATTTTAGCCTTGTGGAGATAGTAGATTCTACTGGAGTTTTAGACCACCTAGGGGAGAGTTTTATTTGAATACTAATTAACAGCCATTGGTATTGTGTAAATCATATTCCTAACCTCTTCCACCTGCATAACCAGCATTTGAATGTGATGTTGTCTATTCCTGCCCCTGGGTTTAAAGGAAATGCCTGGGCTTGGGAGGGAGCTTGGTAGTAGAGCCCTTGCCTAGCATGTCTGAGACCCTGAGTGTGATCTCCCACACTATACAAGAAAAAAAGGAACTCATGACTGGTAAACAGATTACCCCTTTCACTGAATTTAAGTGAGCAGTGAATCTCATTCCCATTATCTCAAAGCCAGCTTCAAATTAGAGAAAAAGATTTTTTTATATGTTATTAGTTCAACAGCCCCTGGCAGCTAGAAATTGTTAGCAAGTGCTTGTGTGCCAGAGACTAAATTTCTCCTACCTGCTCTAGAAGCCTGTGCCGCATCTCCGTGAAAGGGTGTACCTATGTGGACCAGAAGCACTGTATTCAAGACTAGACATGTCTG